GGATGAAGTCGCTGGGATGCTCAGAATGCAATACCTCACTGTGGCGTAGGAGGTAAAGCCGCTGCCTGCGGTGCCAGCACCATATATGGATGCTGCTGCAAGACCTAACTGCTCCACTCCCAATCTGGCTCCCAGGCAATGCTCCTAAGAAAGCAACAGAAGATGACCCAAGTGCTTGGGCCCCTGAACCCACACGGGAGACCTGGAAGAAGCTCCTGGCTCCTGGCTTCAAATAGGCCCAGCTCTAGCTGTTGTAGCCATTTGGGAAGAGAACCAGTAATGGAAGATTTATCTGTTTCTCCCTCTCTTCCTCTGTAACTCTGCCTTTCAAATAAATAAATCTTTTTTTTAAAAAAGAACCCAGTATCTCTCATAAGAAAGGAAGTTTGCTGCTCAGACGCTTCATGGAAAAGAAACAGATGGGAGGGAGGGAGGGGGGGGACGGAAGGAAGGACGGACAGATGGAAGGAAGCAACACACCCAGTAACCAGAGAACTAATTCCTATACCTTGGGTTAATTAAAATTTCAAGGGTTAGTTGCCTTGTTCAATTTCAAAGTATCTTGGCTTTAGTTCAATTCGATTCAGAACTCCTAGTCTTTTCTTCTAAACACAAGAGCTGAGAGGGTCAGAGGAACACCACTAGTGAGCGCCTCCATCACACAGGTGTTGTGAGGTCCCATTATTCCAGCACAGACACAAGGGGTGGGACCTTCCACCTCAACATTGGGGCATAATGGGACATTCACTCTCGAGCGAGGTCCGCGAGCCTAGTTTCAAACTCAAACATCTACAGGGTCCAAAATTTCTTTTTCCTTAAGAGATTTAAAAGTCCATATTTTTATAAAAAATTAAAAAACTACCTGATGTTAACACATGGCCCTGTTTTGTTGTAATATTATGCAGCTCTGGGAGCTAGATGTGGCCCCTGGTGAAAATCTGCTATCTATGGAAAAATGTTTAATTAAAAAATACACACACACTCTCCCCATCTTAGGAGGCAAAATAATGACAGTAACATTCTATGTTAAGTACTTTGTAAGCACTGAAATTATGAGTATCTTTCTAACAGTCCTAACAGTGAGTACTGTTGGCTTGTCTTACAGACATGAACACTAGGAAACACAGAGATCCAGAAACTGGCATAACGAATTACATGTCTGCACCCTTGACCACACTGTGCGTGGTGGAAACACCTTTCGTGTGACATTGTGTGTGATTCCTTTTCTGTTGTCTTCTACGCATCTTCCTTGTAAATGCTGAAGGCTGGTGCTACTCGCTAACCATGATGCGACGAGTGATCCTTCATTCTGTACCACCGGGGCCTAGAAGAAACCCTCTCTACCACCTGCACACAGCCCCTTGACCTGCTAGAAAGTGCTGAGCTTTTAAAATCAGAAGAAAATACTGCATGATCTTGCAACCATGACACTGATGATTAATAGGTTTCTCTGGTTCCCTCCAAGGGGAAACCTGCTAAGTACACCCTAAAATGAACTCGCATAGATTCTGAGTATGGGAATTCTGACAGGAATTTTAAACACCTTAAAATCTGGAAGGAAACATATGGCAATAATGTAAAGAACAGCTATGCTGACATTCCCATTGCCACAAACAAGGACATCTCTTTCTTCTATCTATAGCTGTTCAGGGACGGGGCAGACACAGACGACAAATCAAGGCAGGAGGAGCTATGCCTCCACACACAATTCTCTAACACCTGTGAGAGTCCTGTTTCCAGCCATAAGCATGCCTGTCCACACCAGGGGTGGGTAACTTTTTATTGGTGCTATTAACGCAGGTTCAACGGTTCTCGTCAAGGCATATTCTTGATAGGCAACTCTTCGGCTACACCCAGCAGGCAGCTTAGCAAATAGAACTTGGACTTCAGGGTTGTATTCAGTGAGCAAACGACAGACCGCTATGCGGTTAGATGTTTCCATCAACTGATTCACACATTCATTCTAAGGGTGTATTTTTTTTTGAGGCACTTTAAACACATACTCAATACTTAATAGATACCCATGAATTTCTAAGATGCATCTTAATACAAAGGGATTTAAGTGGTATTTTCCCCCACCCCTATGGCTATTTCCAGTTATTCCCAAGATGATTCTAGTGGTCAGATCGTAGCTGGAGACTCTTCCTCAGGGCGTCCTTCTCCCTCACACACCATCAGTAAGGTCCCTAACAACTTTCCACTCTCCACTTCCGTCTCCTTCACGGTCACCGTCCCAATTTCCGCTCCTATCACTGTGGACCTGCGGTTCTAGCAGAACCATGTTCCAATTTCCCCTATTCACTTCTTGTCCCTCTCATCACTTATCTACTTAGCAGCCAGAGTGAGTTTTCAGACCATTCACTTTCTTAAAACCCTGTGGCTGTTCTTAGCATGAAATCCAAAGTCCTTACCACAGGTGATGTTATCTCTTGCCTGATATCCCTCCTACACCCATCTCACACCCCGTTATGCCCATTCCTCACCCTTCTACAGCTAGATAGGACCTTTTCTTTGTAGTTCATTCGCAACATGGGATCTTCCATTGCTGTTTCCTTTACCTGCGTATCTGCTACTCCTTGCCTTGCTGGTTCTTCTCACATGTTAAGTTTCACCCCAGATGGGACTCCTCAGAGAATTCTTCACCAACCCAGTAGTCTACACATGATCTCCTTCTCTGTTCTTAACTTACAGTTGTTTTCCTCCAAAGAACTTACCACAATCTATAATTCAATATGTATTTGTGTAACGCTACACTGTACCCTCCAACACTAAATTTGATAATAGCAGGGGGATTTTTTATCCTTAACTATATACCTAATTTACTGTCAGTGTGAAACACAATAGAACGCCTGTATATTTTCACTTCTCTTTCTAAAGTTCTGGCAAGTCTAAGAATCCATTAGGGAAACTTCAAGATGTCATCTAAATTTACCCCAAGTAACTCAACACACATGGACTCCACACTCCTTCACACACAATAAGGGAAACTCATTTCTACTGCAATGTCAGGAGCTGCACAAGGTCATCACAAATATCACAGTAGCATGGCATTTGTTCAGAGGACTATCCAGTGCCCCCGCACATGGGACTGGAGAAGAAAATAAATTGAGTGCTTCAGTTTCACCAAACAAAATACACGTCTCTGAACATTGTTTAATTAATTACACATCTGAGCAACAGTCTGTTAAGACTGAAGACACAGAATGCCGCACGCCTCAGTTACACACACTGTGTCCCCTTGTTTAGCATCCAGAACGTAGTGAACACACACGGCTTTACGTGAATTAATCAATATACGTAAGACAGAAAGACATAATTTTAAGCAAAATCATCAGACAAGGGGCCAGCATTGTGGCACAGTGGGTTAGGCTGCCACTGTGTCACAGGCCTCCTTTACCAAAGCACTGGTTACGGTACTGGCCGCTCTGCTTCTGATCTAGCTCCCGGCTAATGCACCTGGGAAAGCAGCAGAAGATGGCTCAAGTACTTGAGTCCCTGCCATATGCATAGGAGACCCAGATAGAGTTTCTGGCTCCTGGATTCAGCCTGGCCCAGTCTTGGCTATTCTGGCCATTTGGAGAATCAGCCAGTGGATGGAAGATTGATATTCTCTCTCTCTAACTGTCTCTCGTTCTTCTCTAATTTTGCCTTGCAAATAACTAAATAAATCTTTAAAAAAAAAACAACTAATGGGGTTCAGCTATGTGACACAGCAGGTTGAGACACAGCCTGAATAGCCAGCATCCCATATGGGCACCAGTTGGAGTCCCAGATGCTCCACTTGCAATCTAGCTTCCTGCTGATGAGCCTAGGAAAGCAGTGGAAATCAGTCCAACTACATGGGATCTTGTACTTAGGTGGGAGACCGGGATGGAGTTCCTGGCTCCTGGATTCAGCCTGGCCCAGCTCTGGCTGTTGTGGCCATTTGGGGGAGTAAACAAACAGATGGAGGATGTCTCTCTCTGACCCTATTTTTCAAATAATAATAAAAAACCTAATGTATACAATTGGCAATGCTAAACATAGGAAGGCTTACTGTATTTCAGTCTGAATAATTGTAACTGTTGCATTCATCTTGCTTTCGTTATTTGCTAAGAGCAGAGAGTAGGCCTCATACTGAGAACAGATATCACCCCATTGAACAGCGAAGCTTTGGCCTCAAGTTCACCTCTGCTTTTTCCTAGTGGTGTGAGTTAGGCAAGTATCTTAGCCTTTTTGCACACTTAATCTCTCGTTTTCCTGCCAAGTGAGGATACTTGGTGTCCTAATTTTGCAGGTAAGGAATTGAAGCTCAAAATGACCACCATGAATGTCCACTAGTGGGGGCGTGGAAGGGCTCAGTGACTGGTAGCCAGTGCAGTGTCTGTGCAAATACCTGTCATTTCTACACACAGGATACAAATCACTGTGCCACATGAGCAAACAGCCCCAACTTACCAAGAGGAACAGAAACCACCCTAGAGACTTAACACGAAGGGAAATGAACACACAGTCTTGCAAATGCACAGGCAGCTAAGTTGGTTGTTTCAGTGTTTTTTTTTTTTTTTTTTTTTCTTCTCTGGGGAAACTATAGCCTATAAAATGATGGCGGTTTAATATGACTAAAAATCTGCAGAGGTTCAGGCAGGCATTGTTGATGCTGTACCATCCTCCTCCCAGGCCAGCTGACCCATGTCATGAATGGCTACGATGGGTTACCCGATGGCAGGCTCATCTACATACACCTGTTATCCACCTGGGCATTTGCAAAGACCACGTGTCACGGTGAAAGGCTGATACCTCCATATGAAAAGCCATCTGTTCACTTGGCAGTCACTGGATTCTTCTCCTCTTGTAAAAACGGAACCATGACCTGTCTTCTCTCTGTACTTGAAAACTAAGCCTATTAGGAAACAGATTCTGGACCAGGACAATTAGCATTCCCTAAACTAGCTCGAGCTGGGGTCACGCTCTAACCGTACCAGGAAGCACTGGGAACTCAACCAACGAAAGGGACTTACTTCAAAGACCAGTGTCTCATTTGTGGGTCCCGGAGCATACAGACGCTCTGGTCGGTTAAAGGAGCGCTGATACTCAAATGTGGTCCCCGCGAAGGAGAACTCCCCAGGCCAGTCGATGCTCCAGCTCCCCGTGAGGTAATACTTCTGACTGAGGCTTCGAACGGCAAGGTAACTGGAGGAAATCTGCAGCTCCTGGATTTCAATGCTTCGGGCCCCAGCGGGAACGATGACCACGGGGTAATACTCTAAAGGGAAAGAAGAGAGGATTTCTGTATACTGCGTGCACGGAAGAATTAACTGCAAGCGCCCAGAGACGTACAGGGACCATCTGTATAGAGCAGAGCCTAGCTGGCATTCATTCCTTCTTTACCAGGTACAAACGATTTCATTTGTACAATCATTTTATTTTCCAAGTGGTGGAGACACCAGAGGAATACAATGTATGCAGTTTCCCAAAGACTTGCTGAGCGAGGTTTTGAGGACAGGTGATACACCCTTCTCCTTTCTAGATCATCAGAGTCCACGAGAACCAAGAATACTGTCTTTGTTGGTTTAAATCTACTTCAAAGTGACACAGAGTGATGTAGTCTCAATAGTGATACTCAGAAACATGGCTCTGAAATGGATTTTTTACTCAAGATGCTTGAATAATTGCTTCCACTATTCATTTAACATCATGTAAGTTTCATAGTAAGGTTCTTTATTTAACAAACACACGTGTAGCATACAACAACTTGGACAGCCTAGTATAACTCACAGTGGGAAGGCATTCATTTAACCTACTGCTGAGATACAACGTATTGCCCAAACTCCTCACGCTAAAACCATCTATGCCTCCTTATTCCCAGACAAGTGACAAAAGCCATCATCCTGTTTGTCAGGTGAGCTAGTAAGAGGCTCAACCCTCTTCAGCGTGGCTCAAATTTCTTCGGTAGTCACAGTCGTATCTCACCAGTGATAACAGCGAATCAGCAGCATCTCTCACCATTTGCTTTATGCTGGTTGAGGTATAGGCCTTTATAAAACTTGCAAGTCGAATTATCACCTTTGCAGACACCACATGCATCTGAAACGGCTTTAGAGCCAAGTTCATGATCACATCCAACTGGCTGGAACAACAACAAAAAGTGAGAAAAGTAAAGATTAGAGAAGTCAGTAGCCAAGAAGAACTAACAGGTGCATGCTTTTCAGTATTCACAGAACATTAGGAAGGCAGTACCGTTTTAGGATTCAGGGCACAGTCTGGAGTTTGGGATTCAACCATTGCCTCGGCTACTATTAGATGCATAACTAGGCACACTACAAGACTTTTCTTAAGGTTAGACCTTCATCTCTGAAACTAGAATAGAAAATCCCACTGCTACAAATATCAGGTGAGCATATTCAGGCCAGGTCTATGACAAAATGTGAAAACACCACTTGCAATGTGCGCATCCCATTATCAGAGTGGCAGTTTGAATCTCAGCGACTCCCTTCTCAATTCAGCTTCCTGTTAATATGCCTGGGAAGGCAGCTGAAAATGGTCCAAGTATTTGGGTTCTGGTCACCCACATGAGAGACCTCAACAGACCGAGATGGAGTTCATGGCTCCTGGCTTAGACCTGGCCCAGCTCCAGCCATTGTGGCCATCTGGAGAGTGAACTTGCAGATGCAAGATCTCTCTTTCCCTCTCCCTTTCTCCTCTCTCTTGTTCTGCCTTTCAAACAAACACATTTCTTAGAAAAAAGCTGGACAATGGAAAACCCTCTTATATCTACATACTTTGAAGTATCAAAGAGTCTATGATCAAAATGAAAGAGAAAGTACTCAAAGAGAAGGGGAAAATAACTGAAATAAATAGCAGTATTTCTAAAAAACATTGGTGAGGTTCCAACGGGGCAGTGAACGTACTTAGTAAAGATGCAATAAAATTTATTATGATTTCCATTCTAACTTAATACCTATAACTACTACGCAAAGCAGAATCACCACAGAAATGGGGTAAAAGAAAATAATTGGATGGGGTTCACACAGCAAGAGGAGAGTTTAGAGACGGGGTTCGCATCCCAGTTAAATATTTGCCCTTCCCCCACGCCACCTACGCAGAATCTCCTGCGCCACTCCTCGGGGGAGACACTGGATATGAGGAAACACAAGCACGACCATGCACCCCAAAGCAGAAGTGTTCTCTTACTTCACAAATCCCATCAATACAAACATCATTTTTGTTCGGGGAGCAAGGAGTTCCGTCTTTCACCTTGCCGGACATTGCAAAAAAAAACTCGAAGTTCTCAGCTTTGCAGTACAGTTTACACCGGTCTTCCTCTGAAAGCAAAGACATCAAGGTAGCACACAGTCAAGAGGAGATTGTAGGAAACATGAGATGACCCTGGAAGGAGGGATTACAGTTACGTAGCGTAATCAAACTGGAGAATGATACACTGTTTTGCATGTATGTGCACAAACAGCACATATACATGTGGCCCTCACAAACAGAAATGTCATTGGACAATCTGCCACAGAAAACTCATTTCCTAAAAACACATAACAATGTATTTCCTAATCCCCAGTCAGAGTCACCACACAAGATTGGCGGGCTGCATAGATGGGCCCTCCCCTCCTCTCCATAAGCACTGTAGGCTTTGTAGGTTCTACACTCACTCACCAGCAATATGTACATAAGGGAGTGCTGCTGTGTTTCAATAAAACTTTATTTTATTTCTTAAGAGAAGGTCAGACTTGGCCTGTGGGCCATCGTTCAATACCCCGATTTAGGACATGGGCTGCTTGACAGTTAATCAGTCTGCTAAGGGGAAATTTTAAGGCAAATCATCAATAATGTTCCTAAAACAGAGTAAAACCCATCGTGAAAAGGAAGAGGACGTAGAGAAACTGATCCTGAAGTTTCATAAAGTGGCGTCCATGAACCACTCCATCCCTGAGATCCTACTGGTGTCCCAGGCGAGAGGGGAATCTGTCAGGTTTACAGAGCTCTTGTTATCAGAAAGGAGTTACTCTGCCAATTTCTCCAACAGAGAAAGCTCTTCTTGGCCAGGAAGTCCAGATGACGTTGTTCACATGAGACCCTACGTGGGTGACCTTGAGCGAGATCCTTAACAACAGCTTTACAACACATGTAAACAGTTTGCAAAGAGTCGTCTTCCAGAAAACCCCTCAATCAAGGACGAAGTCAAAAGTTAAATGTGAAAGAGCTAAATTCTTACTGTTCAGATATGCAGATGTGTGGGTGGATTAAACACTGCTCTCTCCTCCACAAGTTTTATTTTTTTTAAATTTTAATAGCAGCTGTATTTAATATTTCCTAATTTCTGCATATGAGATTCAGAAGTTGGCAGGCACACACACACACACTCGCTTTTCTCTATCATCTTCAGGAATTAACAAGTTTGGGAAAGCCTGGTGCTTCCAGCATAGATTTCTGGGCAAGTTTATGAAGGAATCCATTAGAAACACAGAAAAAGAAGAAAATACAAGCTCACTACTGTAGGATGAAGACTGTCACCTTTGTGGAGCGTGATCCCTCGTTCTTTCCACACTACAGCGGTGTGTGGGCCCCTTCTGACGTGTCAGGAGGAGGAGGAGGAGCCAGAAGACCTCAACTTTTCTGTGTTCCTACACTGGGATGTGAGATCTTAAGGCTGGGGATGATGTTTGATTCAACATACTCTCTGGTGCTTCTAGAACTGTCCCCAACCCAAAAAATTGCTCAGTAAACATCTTCTGAGAGAGGAAACCAATGAAATTGCACACTTCTTACATGATGCAAACTATAGTTACCAAACGAACTTGGAAACCAAAATGCATTTTCCAAGTTACAAATGTATGTGTTTAACTTTCTCTTGACATAACCAATGTATAACCTATTTAAAGGGCGATGACACAACCGATTCCACAAACACTCCCTTTAAATCAAAGCCATAATGTGGGGATAGACTACAGAGCACCCAGGAAGCCAAAGTGGGACAGAAGAGTCTTAGAGAACCGTCGATGACAAACACCGGTCTGCAGGAGGAGGCAGCCTACAGATACTGGAAGTGGAAGAACTTTGGGCTGGAGAGCATCTTCCCTCGGTGACTGCTCAGTTCTAGTAGAATGCCTCTACTAATGGGGAGCTTACCATTTACAAAAGAAATGCACTTGTACTTTGGACAGTCGATATCTGCTTATTCACTCCCTCATTTCAAAAGTTACTACAGCCATTAAATAAACAACCAAGGAGTCTGCAAACAAAGTTTATGAGATTCATGTTATAAAAAAATCATGTATGGATTTTAAAATGTTTTCACCAAAATAAGCTCATCTTTGATTCTAACTTTCCATGAACTCTTTCAAGTGCCCTGGTATGATAAGTGGTATTCTCCGATGTTAAAGTTACAAGCATGTTCACACCAAAGGCTTAGTCTCTGTGGAAACTAAATTCCTATGGGGAGAAAGATGATACCTAAGTGACTAGATAACAAGTAAACATATGCACTGATAAGGGCTGTGAAGGGTAAAGCATCCAGCGAATGAGATGAAGGAAGAATATTCTAGATAAACTGGTCAAGAAATTCTCTATGAGATGCAATATAGCTAGGACACTCTTAGCCCTTCAATTATTTTGTCCTCTGATCCAAGTTCAACTCAGTCTACAATCCCTCCTATTCAAGGATTCTTCAAATTTTTCATGTGATTTTTTTGATAGTAAACATCTATAGGAACTTCATTGTTTCCTCTTAAGACACAGCTTTCAGAATGTTCACCTCTGTCTGTACTTTTAGAAAAATGGCCACATCTCCAAACCCAATCAACGCTCCTGAAACGGCCAGGCCGGCACAGAGCCTCGTGGCACGGTCGTCCCTAGTCTGGGAGGCCCTTCTGCTAGCGTGCTGCCTCTAATTGCACTAGCTTCCTGATGTTAACTGGCAATACGGGTTCACCTTGAGCTCTTGCACAGGAACAGCCTAGGAACGCTCATGAAATCTAGTTCCATCTCTACACCTGCCATCAGCAGTCACACATTTCACGCATCTCCTTTCGTAGGGGAACACAGGTGAGTTTTGATAAATCCAGAGAAGGAAAATAATGGAAAGGAAACTAGAATAGTGACAGATTATTCCACAAAGGTGATAGAAGCTGTATTAAATTTTTACATTTTAACAGAAACAAATGTTTCGTCATTAGCCAACATGAAAGCAAATTAACTGAAAAAATGAAACTGAAGCCACATCTTTGTGTTATAAGTACTAAGAACCTAGCTTGCAGATAACTTGCATTTGGGGTCTCGTGTCTGTGTGAATACATGCACCTGACAAAGAGGCCTTCCTTCCCATGTGTGTGTCCCTCTGACAGGTCAGTTACCGAGTATGGGGTCTCTGTGGGGTAGATATGGTTTTACGAGTTTTTTTCGTCTGGATAATTCATACCAATTTCCATTAACATCCCTGGGAGACTTAATTGCTGAAAAGTCTAAGGTAAATTTAGAAACCTAAGTGTGTTCCAAGCACATGAACCCTTTCACTCACAGATGTGGGAGACAACGGGTGTCTTGTGGAAAAAAGGGTGTGGAAAAATAAACACCATCTTCACAACTCAAGGAAACACTGAGCCAGCACGGGTCTGGGGAATGAAAGGTAAACAGTGAACTCTTTCCCAGGCACGGATTTCTCCTGTGCTGTGCCTTCACTTTAACCTCCACAGAGAGACATGTTCGTTCGGGGGTCACAGAGACTGAATTACCTTCCACTTTCGTGTAGGGTTTCCACTGGTAGAACCAGCCGCGGAAAGGTTTGCTGTTATATTCTGCACACTGCTGAGCTCGAAAATCCAAGCTATTTTCATTACAAGGGTTAATGTTGCACAGCTGATAAACACGGCTAGAACCTGGGCAGAACTTGCCACCATACTGAGGCCTGAAAGTAAAATCAAAGAGCTTTTACGCAAGTTATCAGAGGATTCCCTCAGTCATATGCAGTAACAATAAAATTCACTATTGGTTATATGCAGTAAGGAAGGACAACAAGTGATACAGATGGTCACAGTCTGTACAGCTGCATTCGATGTATTAGAGAAATGCAAATGTGTAGCATTTGAGTCAACATATCCCTTTGGTAACCATGGCAGACATGACTAATCTCCTAGGTAATCAACGGATTTATATATCTAGTATATATTTTACCTTAAATACAATATGTAACATTTATTAATATAGTCTTTTGCAAAAGCCTAAACTGGCCTCATAATCTTTCCCAATGTGATACCCACGGTACTCTTCCTTACTCAGAATTGATATGCTACCCACAGAGATGGCATCAAAAGCACCTTATGTCCTGATCCAACCTGTGTCTCAGGCTTTTCTCCCATTTCCTAACTCTCTCATTATTGTCTTTTGCTCTCCCAAGCACCTGCTGCTATGTGGAGCGTTAAGGTACTAGTTAGAAGGGACAGCAAATCCTGTATCCCTTGCTCTCCAATCGTGTCCATCCTTGAGATGATATTCTGATTCATGTCTGACTCCGGGGTGCCTTATTCTAATGGATTTCAAACTCTTCGAGAAAACCTTCCCCGGTTTCATCTGCATAATCACTTTGCAACTTCGCAGGTGGCCTGTTCTTCCTGCCAAGCACAGTGGGAAATGGATTTCCAGATTAGGGAAGCCCATTAGAACATAAATAATGATGATCTAATGGCAAGCTCTGTAAGACCGGGATGGGCCGACTCTTGAGCTGCAAAACCGGAAAGCAAAATAAAGGGGGTGGGGTGGGGGGAAGGCCACACTGAAAATTACCAGTACCACCTTACTCAATTGCTAGTTTTTTTCCTCTCCCTTTTTGTAGCTTTCTCCAAAGGTTACAACTTAACTGTGGATCACTGTGGTTATATAAGAACTCATGCCAACACATAACATACAAGGAGGCTGCAGGCCAATAAATTCACGTGATTAAAATTCCTTGTCTTCCTAGGCAGCACGAGGATGTGATGAAACAGCCCTGGATGTGCCTGAGCCAATTTTATGGAGTCCTGTAACCGTGTGTGCTGCAATGGATTCAACAGCAGCGCGAAGTGTCACACTGCCAGAGGAAATTTTTATGCTCTTTCAAAACATTCTGCAGCAACTATTCAAACATGTAGCAGCCTTTGCGCTACATCAAATCCCCCAAGACTCTCTAAGTTATTACCTAAAAGGCACTGAGCAAACCCAAAGTACTGTATCAGAGCCTCGAGACTCCAGGCCATCTTTATAAGCCATATTTAAAGCTAATTCCTCTGTTTAAGACTTTCTGTCGGAGACTGAACAAATAACCCTCATCTCTGCTCTTCACAGTTAATGAGGTGAGCGACATCACAACGTGTTACTTTTTCAACTCGTGGAGCTGTAATGTGGAAGACCTCCAATCTCCTACTGCCTTCTCTTTTCACAAAGTGAAAAATGACTGACTGTGCGAGCTCACCAAAGGAGCGGAACAAGGTTCCCACGGTTAGAAAGAGGCAGGGCAGAGCTCAGCCACCCCCCGCCCCCCCCCCCGACCTGGGGGCAATGTCCAGGATTCTTCTCCCATTCCACTGAGTCTGGGAGACTGAGTGAGGCCACAGGCAGGGGGAGATGCAGGACGCACATGGCTAAGGGGGCTGGCCTTGTCCAAGCCTCCACCTCTTCCCACCCTGACCTCGGCAGTTTTATTTAGTGTCCTCAGCTGTAAGATGGGGACAGGTTTGACAAGGGACACAATGCCTGTAAAGAATTTAGGGCAGGGTGAGCAGAAACGCATCGTTACTACTTTTCAATGCTCTTTACTGTTGCTTCATGTGTCCCCAGGGTTCTGTATCTTACGCTGTCTGCTTTCTATAGACTCGGATATTTCGTCGTCTACTACGGGGTAAGGTCAAAGTGGCTGAAAGTAATCACTGGTCAGAATTGGAACTTCTCTACGAAATCTTCCAGTGCAGCTTTATTTTTCTATACCTTTAAACGAGTATGTTAGGATTCATTAACAGATAATTGTATCATGCTCTCCCTCAGAGTAATAATATCTTTATGACTAAAGCCAAATACAGAAATAGCAAGCATCCGCCTGGGCACATGCTTTGCCCTTCTGTTGGACTGCTGGACCATATACCTATATTGGCTTCTGCGTGGTTCAGACCACTGATGGTTCTAACACTGGTTGATGATCATCAGAGCTCTGTTAAATAACCATTCAAGAGAATTCAGAGAGTTCATGGAAAAGCAGAATTGAACTTTATTTTGGTGCAAAGTATTTGCAATATGTGCAGCGTTTCCTTCATTCGTGTTTTCCATGAACTTTTTGAAGGCCCTGTCATGTACACACACACGTACGTTTGTGTGTGTGTACTCCTGGACCCCGCCACAGACTTTCTCAGATATGGAAGATTCGGAAACGACCATGTTTTTAAAAGTGCCTCTGGTGATTCTGATAATCAGCTGAACCTAGAAATCGCCAGTTGGAAAATGGGTCACAGATGTGATTCGATTCATGACTTTCCTCCCAACTCCATTTGCTAAGCTGCATTAGCTCAAGTGATAAATGATTCCTTCTCAGAGAGAGTCCGGTTTCAGGAAAGTTCTAGAACACCGTAGCACGTCAGTATTAATTTTCTTGAGCAGAGTTTAGAGGAAATTGCCTAGGCGCTCTGACAATGTGGTGATTTCACAGGGAATCAGGAAAACTGCTGAAGAATTAACACTGTAGGGCCTGAATACGACTCTGCCACTTCCATGGGGGTGACCAGGGCATAGAGGCTTCCGTGAATAGGACCCTCGGCCTCCCCCAGCTGCCCTCCCGTAGTGGACTGATCACAAGGGTTTCAACTCATCCGTCAGTGCTAACGCAATGGGAGCCATGGCCTGGAGCATCGTCCTCCTCTAGAGAGATCAGGGCTTCAGAGGGGGATGCTTGGCACTGTGGTTAAGCCACTGCTTGGGGTGCCCTGCCACCCACAAGGGGGACTCACACTGAGACCCCAGCTCTTGGCTTCAGCCTGGCTCACCCATGGCTGTGGCCAGCATGTGAGAGCGAATGAGGTGAAGGAGATCTCTCTCTCTCTCTGTCTGATGAATAAATGAAAGAAAAAAGAGACCAAGAGACAATGCAGCACTTGGATCAATGCCATAGGCCTGAGAAAAAGGAGGCAGCCACAGCTCCCTGGCACTGGCCATTTGAGAACCAGATAACCTTTAAACTCTTTTTAGGCTCAAGACACTTGAGAAATTCACAGATCAGCCAAGGATTTTTATTTATTTATATATATATATATAAACTTATTTATATATATATATATATAAATAAATAAAATGAAACAAAGTGTGTTCTGGAAACAACATCACTGCATGAAACAGAAACCTCACCCCGTTTCTCAGAGCAGAAAGCCCAAGCGATGGGGTTGAGTGGTGTGCGCAGAACACATGCTCACACTGAGGCAGAGAAGAGTATCAGTGTCTTGAAACAGGGAGAGCAATGAGCCATAGGGAAACCAAGAGAAATGAGAACAGAGAAGGAATAATTAATTCAGCTGCCTGGGGAGAGGATATCGGCTCCTTTTATTTGTGACTTCATGCAGAGTTAAACAAACAGCCTCTCAATGATCTTTCAAATGATAAGGCTGCATGGAGTGGAAATACTTTGGTGATTAATCCTTTTTATTAGGCATCTCTAAAATTACAATAGGATCTTTCCATGAAAAATGCCCTATTATAATGAGGCCGCTCAATCCCACAGATATGAGAGTGCTTTTAATGTAAACCTCAGGGGTATCATTCATGCGCTTCACCAGCAGAGCTATTAAATTAGGTAATCTCTTTCTTGCTTGGGAGAGTATCGGGATTGTAAAATGTTGTGATGTATGAAAACCAGATCCATGAAATATGCTTCAAAAATGTCAAGTAACAGAACGCTCCTAACCACTCTGTCCAAGACACGGGCCACATCAGAAGGGTGGTTCTGACCAAGTGGAGTTGAGCTGTAAATGCACCCTAAGCTCCCCTCTCATTCTCTGCAGGGGTTCCTCCTACTGGCACCTGGTGGCTGGAGACCAGGATGCTGCCCAACACTGCTCGCCTGCCGGACAAAGGACCCACAGTGTCAACACCACCAAAGCAGAAACGGCCCTGATTACCCTGAGAGGGTCCACACAGCACCTAACAAATTCCTAGGCAAAGTGTTTCCGAAGCCGCCTCCTACGATGGCAGAGAAAGCCCGCCTTGCTATGGAGCCTAGGCTTTGCTGAGTCCGAGGGAGTCCCATTTGCCTCTTGAAAAATTTCCTTTGGCTCTAATTTCCCTATTTATTTTAACTCTCACTTTACCAAACATTTATGCAGTGCGGGTGACATGCCAGGCACTTTCTAAGAGCACTTTAAACTCCGAGCCCAGCTGCCGCCGGTGCTACAGTTAGCCCACTTTTACCACGGTGGATTCTGGGAGGAGGAGAGCTGGCTGTGTACAGCCACGGAGCGGCCACGTGTGGCAGCACCACGATGGAAACTCTTGCTGCCAGGCTTCAGTCCACGTCCTCTAGTGCCTCCAAACCACTCCAACTCCGCCATACAATTACATCCACTACTTTCCACACCCCATCATATTCTTCTCAACTCACCACATTTTCCTGAGTCCACTAGCAGCAGGAAGGGCCCTGCTTCTTGCCGTGGCCTCTGTGGCCTGGTCTTCTGTGACCCCCGGGACCCCTGGTGGACTCTGTGTTGAATGCTCACTGGATGCATTTGACAAAGTAATTTCTAATCCTCCTCTCCCTCACCCCCCAGCCTCAGAGGTAGGTGTTAGCTCCATTTTAGGTGACTTCCCCAAAGCCACACCGTAAGAAAGTGGCCAACAGAGCCTGGCTCCTTCTCCACTGCTATGCCAATGGGGAAACACACAGCTCATCATGTTTCATGAAGACAGAGCTAACAGCAGCTCATAACTGCTTCATTGCCGTGCACGACGGACTGCTGCAGGCCTAGACAGGGGTACCTGCCAGTGACCAAGGCCAGTTCCAAGGCAAAGATGATCTTAGTCCTCACAGTGTTTTTTTTTTTTTTCTAAAGAAATCAATTTTATCATCACTGTTTTAACATGGTGAAATTTTTTTGCATGCACTACTTTTTTTTCTGCTTGCTCTTAAAATGTCAGGTAGATGTGCCAACACGTGATGATGTACATTCCTGCAGGGCAAAGCTGAGCCAACTTCCAGCAGCTCACCCCTTTGAAAGGCTCTCTTACCCCCCTGCCCAAGCTCCTGCCTCCTGTAGGACTGTGGGCACAAGTAGCCTACAATGTGTAGCCCTAGTATGAATGAAGAAAGTAGCTTGGACTACTACTGGTGTTCCTGCTCAGCACAAGCTCCTCTGTGAGGGGACTTCTGAGAGTAATAGGAAAAAATGCAATTAAAACTCTGAGATTATTTTGCTGCAAAATCTTTTGAAACTCATGCATGATTTTTTCATACTACGTATCTCCATTGGACCAAAAAAAATTTTTTTTGCATCAAAACAACCTTAGACTTTTAAATCTGTTTTCCATGAATCTAAAGGGCCGTCATCGAACAATTCTGCTTTTTATTCAATTTTTCCCACCATATATTGTCCAATGCATATAGCCTTTGTGTACAGAGAAATGCTGGTTGATAGCAGTTAATAAGAGAGGAAAATCATACCTAGGACAGTGCATTCCAGGCCGAAGGTCAATGCCATAGAAGGCCTGGGTGAACGCTGGAGACTTACTTGGGGTTATTGCAGTGTCTCTCCTGAAATCTGACTCCTCCTCCACACGTCCGAGAACATTCAGACCACTTGGACCAGGACGACCACTGGCCGTGGATGGGCCGAGGCCCGAGCTCCCCGAACTTCACACACTGGCCTTGCCGGCACCACTGTGAAATCAAAGCAGGACATGGTTTGTTAGCAATCCCCTGGGAAAGCACAGGGGGATGCACACACCTGCACGGAAACCGGATAAACAGGTCTGGTGGCAGAAAGGAAAAAAAAAAAAAAAGATGACACCTTGATAGATTCCTCTCCTCCCTGTGTACTTTACAAACATTCATGCGCTGACCGTGTGAGCCATCCAGACAGAAATGGCACTGCTCACCCACAGGCTGAGGGCTCCATGCTCTGTGAGCGATCGGAGTCCACACACACAAAACTCCAAGGGCGCCTCCCTCGCCTCCGAGACAGGACGCTACTTAAAGAAATGATTGTGGATCGTTCACTCAATCAGAAAGCGTTTCTAAGATATAACCAAAGGATGTATCGCTTGAATGATTAACTCACAGTGAAAGCACACGCAATTATTCCCACATTGTGTTCTTCCTGATTTCAATCCTTATGCACTGGAGTAGCTTCCAGACGGCACAAACAGTACTGTTTAGACACAGTGCTTTGTCTTCTTTTTTCTACACACTCGGTCCCTGCTTAGCACCCTCTCACAGCTGATCTTCCATGCCTTGGACAAAAGAACTCTGGGTCTTTCGCTGTCCATGGACCCAGGCAAGTGAGGGTGAGTGCTGCTTCATGTGTTCATCTCTCCATTTCAGCTCTCCTCTGGGACAACCTGTAGGCCTGCAGGTCATCTGTCTCCTTGGGGGATTCTCTCTCCTTGGTAGTGCCTTCTGTTGTGTCTCCCCACCCCTCCCACCCCGGCTCCCATGGTGTTTTTATTATGAGCAAGGTTCTGCATGAGTTAGCCTAACTGCACCCTCGCCTAAGAGCCTCTGCAATCAGACCCAAAGCGCTGGGTTTAGACCAAGCCAGGTTCTGCTGCGGACTGGGGCTTGGGTTTCAGCCTCTGAGGAGGGGGTGTTTGACTTCCACATCTTCACTCTTCCCCTGTGATCCACTTGGCATGGCCGCTGTTTATTGTGTAGCTTCGTTGCTAATACACTTTGTCTACGTTAAGATATTGCTTCCTTTCTGCAAATTCTTGCCATGGGCTGATGAATTCTTCTGTTTTTAATTTTTGTTTCCCTTGGGTTAATTGCCATTTTGGAGTTCGCATGAAATCATATAACATTGTTGAGCACTTTCTCAGGCGAAAGCCCTCGGTCATCTGAGGATTCTGTCTACTGTAAGTATGTATCCATCTCCCCCGCGGGGAGTGCTGGGGCTCTACTGGATTCAGAGCAAGCTACAGCTGATGCGGTCGCTTCTCTGTGCCAAACGTGGTCGGGAGAATGTCACATGTAGAAGCTCCTACGATGCGTGCAAAGGACACAGGAATTTAAAACTCTTCCAAATGAGGGAAATTTATCAAAGCAATTGCAACTTGCTGAGTCCCACAGATGCCCAAATAGCTACACCAGTAGCAGCGACCAAATTTAATTCAGAAGCCAAAGAGCCCAAATGGGACACATTCCACCTCGCAGCTTGGAGACACATCACTGACCAATGTGCCTGCATTCCAATTTCCTTTCTGGAAGCATGGTTTTTTAGATTTCTCCCACTCATTCCAGTAATTCACCTTGCTGTTCTTTCCGCACTCGTCCTAGTACTGGTTAGGCTGCTGACAGAAAGTCTCTGACTTTCCAATAAGCACAGAAAGCAGAGAGGGGCAGGCGTTGCCATAGAGACTGAGACACCTGCATTCCACAGTGAGCATCTGAGTGCTGGCTTCAGTCTTGATCAGTTTCCTGCTAATGAGCACTCTGGGAGGCAGAGGTATTGATTGACTCCAGTGGCTGGGTCCCCCCATCACCCAAGGGAGAGACCTGGATTCAGTTTCTGACTCCCAACCTTGGCCTGGCCCAGGACTGGCTCCTGGAGCTATTTGAGGAGTAACCCAGCTGATGGGAGATCACTCTTTGTTTCTCTACCTTTCAAATAAATGATATAAATTACTAAAACAAATTCAAAAAAGAAAGTGGGAATATATGGGAATGTACACAGAGGCACGCCAACATCTTCATCACCCATCAATCCAATTCTATATACATATATCATTTCATCCTTCTACCTGTACACACACCTTTCTGGTGCTGCTTTTAATTTCAAACAGAACGGCTATGACTTCACAAACTTCCTGGCAAATGGAACCGAAAGCTGTGGAGGAGTGGGCCTTGTGCCTAGCAATTGAGATGCCAGCTGAGATTCCTGTATGCTGTACTGGAATATTTGGGTTTGATATCTGGCCCGGGCTTTCGACCCCAGGTTTCTCTTAATGCAGACTCTGGGAGGCAGCAGTGAGTGCCCAGGTAATCGGGTTCTTGTCACCCACATCAGGGACCTGGATTGAATTCTTGGCTCCTGAGTTTGGTCTTAGCCCAGCCTTAACTTTAGAGGGTCTTGGGGAGTGAACCAGCAGAAGGGAGCTCTCTCTCTGTCTCCATTTGCCTCCCTCCAGCCTTTGGTCTCAATTTTTTTTAATGGTAGTTTATTTTGGTGCAATTAAAAAAAGCCTTAGTTTTTTTTCTTATACCCCCTATTCATGAAAATTTTTTTAAAGATTTATTTATTTGAAAGTCAGAGTTGCAGAGAAGGAGAGGCACAGGCAGAGAGAGAATGGATTTTTAACCTATTGGTTCACTCCTCAAATGGCCGCAATGGCCAGGGTTGGGACAGATGAAGCCAGGAGCTTCACCTGGGACTCCCACCCACATGGGTGCAGGGGCCCAAGCAACTGGGCCATCCTCTGCTGCTTTCCCAGGCCATTAGCAGGGAGCTGGACCAGAAGTGGAGCAGCCGCGACTTCTTACCCTTTTAACAGACGGCACACACAGGCCTCCTTGCTTACAGACACATCCCTAGGTAAAAGCATAATGCTTTCACATTCTCATGTACTGAGTATTCCTACTACAAAGGACAGGGCACTGGAGAAGGAGTGGCAAGGATACACTGGGTTTCGGTTACAAAGAAATAAACAAAACATGAAGCAGCTGCTACTCTGTGCCAGACCTCCTGCAAAAAGCCAGAGTAAGTCACGGGCCTGGTGCTCAAGCAGTCTGCTGTCCAACAGACAGAAAATCACATCCCCTGTCAAAGGGACACCTAGCGAGGCGGCAAAGATTAACTTGGAGTGACGCTGGATGGGACTGACGGACATGCACTCTTCCCAGTATGACCGACATTCGAGGGCTCTTCCCACGGATGTAACCATAGCCTGGGATTTTAAAATAGCTGGCAGATCAGGGCAGGAGAGCTATCAGCACACGGGTTTACTGACTTCTGCCCTGATTTACTGACCTCTAATCCACGTGCGATTGGGCTCCCATGGGACTCAGATCCTTGCTCATTTGTGTTTAGTTAATTTCAGACCTATGCTATAGACCACTTTGTCATTTATGAAAGGACTTCAAAAAGTTGGTGGAAAATGGAATTAAAAGATAAATTTTGGGGGCCAGCATTGTGGTGCTGCAGGTCAAGCTGCCAACTGTGACGCCAGCATCCCACATGGGCACCACTTCTCGTCCCGGCTGCTCCACTTCTGACCCAGCTGCCTGCTAATGGCCTGGGGAAGCAGTGGAGGATGTCTGTCTGTCTGTCTTTCTAATTCAGACTTTGAAACAAATAAAGTAAACCTTTAAAAAACAAAAAAAGATAAATTTTGTTTTGATGTCAAAAAACCCTAAAAATCCATGCATAGTTTTTATATAAGATGCACCTTCCATGAATTTCCTGGAGATCCTCCAAATTCTATCACTCTTTTCTGGGATATCATCGCATTACACTTGATCTTAGCCAAAAGGCCGAGATGCGATATCATCACATTTAATTCTATTGCTTTTAAATTTCAAAAGGCTCATTATTCCTCATGTGGAATATTCTAAAGTTGGATGCTTCAAAAATAAAAATGAGCAATATCTGTATATCCAATTATTCAGTCAATTCATTGCTTTGTAGAACCATGGCTACAACACTACCATTATGTTTTGTTTTATAAATGTAAAATTATCCTGAAATCCAATGTTAAAAAATTTAATGAGAATCCTTATTGGGACGTCCCAGGATCGGTATATCTGATCAGAAACTGTCCATTAGTCTTCAATTTCAAATACTTTCTCTGCTTTCTTTAAAACATTACAGCACATTTAAGAGGCACTGAGAACTGCTCTACTACGTATCCCGAACACGGCAGTGCTGCTGAGCCCCCGTTTGCTTTGGCCTGGCCGAGCTTTGCCTTCCGTCGCTCACTGATGGTTTCTCGCTGCCAAGTCGCTCCTTTTTCCTGTCCGAGAGAAGGACTGCACCGTCCACCCTCTGCACCCACTGCTGCAGCTGGCTCCAAGGGCACTCCTCATCCCAAGCAAGGCTCACTTCGCACTCAGCTGGGCCCTGCCCATAGCTGGTGCTTAAAGAAGAGCATTGAAAGGGAGCTTGAGCCGGTGGCTTCTGTTGGAGTTTTCCCGCGGTGATATAACTTCTTCTCGGGCGGCAAGGAGTTTTATTCTCCTCTATCTCCCTCGGGTCTCCTGTCCCTGGAATCTGGTCATTAATGACTGTGGAATGGAGTCCACTCTAAATGGCCAATCCACCCAGCAGGCTTGCGAGAGCCAGCAACAGAGATCTGAAAACCTGCAATGTTTTCGCTTCTCCTCCTGGGAGCTCCTCTAGCCCGGGTTTTCAAATGAGTTTCCCAAATCTGGGCTATTTACTGGTACTTTTTACATACTTTACATAACACATCAAGTTTGAAAGGCCAATGATGTGCCATAAAACCCACTAGCTCATTGAAACAGCTATTCAGACCCAAGCCACCAGGTAAAAACAGAACACAAATGCAGTAAAGAAAAAAAAAACATTGTTAAGCAATTGAACTACTTGGGTGATATTAGCATTAAGTTTGTTTGTTGTTTTGACAGGCAGAGTGGACAGTGAGAGAGAGAGAGACAGATAGAAAGGTCTTCCTTTGCCGTTGGTTCACCCTCCAATGGCCACCACGGCCGGCGCACCGCGCTGATCTGATGGCAGGAGCCAGGTGCTTCTCCTGGTCTCCCATGGGGTGCAGGGCCCAAGCACTTGGGCCATCCTCCACTGCACTCCCGGGCCACCGCAGAGAGCTGGCCTGGAAGAGGGGCAACCAGGACAGAATCCGGCGCCCCGACCAGGACTAGAACCCGGGGTGCCGGTGCCACAAGGCGGAGGATTAGCCTAGTGAGCCGCGGCGCCGGCCTAGCATTACGTTTTATCATCACTGTGAAATGATGCTGGTTAAGGAGAAACAGAACACACACGCATCAGAGGTATTCCATTCCAGGGCCACCACACACACACTGGCGGTTCTAGGCCTTAGCAAGTGTCTGTAGCTACAAACTAACACGTATGCAGTTTACCATACTCAAGCCACAAACGGTCCCTTCCGCGGCAGGCATAAACTTGGTCTCACATCTGTGGCCCACTCGGTGGCACCAGAGGGATTTGCAAATGTCCTGCAAGGAAAGAAGGGGCCAGTAAGGGCGATGACACAATCAACATGACAACACGCAGAGCTTCTGGAGACAATATACTCGTACCATATTTTGGGGCAGCTGAGATCAGACAAATTAGTCTGAAAGTAGGAGCAAGTGAAGTTGGCTGGTAGCAGCGTGATAGCACACCCTAGTGACAGTGTATGCAGGAAGTGAGTGTCTTCAGTACCTGAACCTTCATGTGTAGTTAGGCATGACTAAGAGGCAGCAACAGCTCATCTAGAGGACATTCGTGCTGGCTAGTTTCCAATGACAATGGTAATTAATAACGAGGGTAGTGGAACAGAACAAAATTGGATAAAGGAAGTCTGATTCATTCTGTCATTCCGAGTTGTATGCCCGTTGGACGTGTTACTCAGTGTCCCTCAGCAGCTTCCTATCCTATAATATTGTGGAGAACTTAGTTCTAGACTCTTCCAGGTTGTTCTCAGGGATCACAGAGGTAACACAGTCAAAGCAGTTAGTATGCACAGTACGTGCAATTCTCCAAAACACTGGCTGTTATCATCACTATTATGTTCTTCATTTAACTCTCACCTCAGTCGTCTGAAATGATTCCCACACTAGACTGAGGTAGGCAGAATAATGGCCTCCAGAGAGGTCCACGTCCTGACCCCAGGAACTAGCAAAGAAGAAGTAAAGTTGCTGATGGGACAGAGAGTGTGAACCAACTGATCCTGATGGACACACCGGCCTTAATGTCCCAGGTAGGCTGGACCTAAATGTCCCAGGTAGGCTTGACACAGTTGCAAGGATCTTCCAATGGGGGAAGAACAAGACATGACAGAACCAAGAAATGGCAGCCGAACAATGTGACAATGTTCTGGCTTTGAAGATAGAGAAAGAGGCCAGGAGCCTGGGCACACAGGTGGTTTCTGGAAGCTGTCGAAGGCAGAGAAGGGCCTCTCTCACATAAATTCCAAAAGTAACAGGACCCTGTTGACATCTTGATTTTAGCCACTGCAAATGTGCACATCCAGAACTATAATATACTAAAAGTGTGTTCTTGTAAGTCACACCGAATTCACGGAAACATACTACAGCACCAACAGGACACTAACACTACCATTTGGAGGCAGAAACTATTTCCTCATCTAAGCTCACTTAGCTGAGGACGCTGAGCAAGCTGCCGGTAGATGCTTCTGAAGCCAGTAACGTCACAAAGCAGCCAAGCGGCAAAGACAGACCTCAGATCGGCCTCTCAAACTGTCTCTGGGCCTGGAGTTGACATTGTCAGAGAGACCTCCACCGCCCAGCCTCAGTTCCCTATCCCTAAAGCAAAGGATTAAACCAGACATCTGCCAGTTCAAAGTTGCTGTCCAGAATTACATCACTAATGATTACCATTAAGTATTCACACGATTCCATTTTGTTTGCCATATTCCAAAGGTAGCAAGGTAAACACACACACATTGAGGGAAACCCACAATCAGCAAGAAAACAAAACAGTTTTGGTACTTACCAGTCTTAACCCTGAAAATTCAATTTACCAATGACCTAACTCCCCAAATATTTCCCTTACTATAGAGTTCACAACTAGAAAATACGACAACATGCTTCCAAATATTTCACCAAAAAAAGTAAACAAACAAAAAAGAACTTTCCACAGGACTGCAAAAAGAAAACAGGGAAACCAGAGGTGTATGGGGTAATTCTGCCTCTGTGGCCTACAAAATTCTCACTGCAGCAGAGAATGGGAGACTATTCGATTCACCGCTTAGCAACATCACCACCACCCAAAGGCCTGAGACACGGACACACACACCATCTCCCCATCTCAAGAGAGCTCACTCCACAAAATATCTAAGAGGTCACTTCCAAAGACTTATGGGAAAAGAGAATGAAGAGCTAAGTTTATGTTGGCACAAAAAAGTTTTGAAATGCATGCGTCCTTTTTTCGCAGCCCATACTTTCCATGAATGTTTGGAAGACTCCTTCATACATACTCAAACTTCCTTTCGTGAGCTCACAAGAGCAGAAAGCATGAAGCAGCCTCCCAGAAAAACCTGAACGAGGTTCACCATCTCCACACACTTCCCTATCAAGGTCTGGGGGGGATGCAAAAAAATTCATGTGGCAAAAGCAGCAGCCTGCATCAAAGCAGAGGAACAGGAGACAGTGGTTGAAGCAAAGGCTCACTTGGGAAGCTTTCAAGTTCTTGTGCTTCCTTTCTCATGGCCAGGGGACACCCATAACCACACCCGTCGTCTATGCAGCAGCCACCAAAGTGACCCTTGCTTGGACTAACCCAAGAAAAGAGGGCCCAGATGCCATAAGCAAGGCCAGGCCACAGGGCCGAGAGAAGGGGCAGCCGGAGGGCATCAGGAAAGCAAAGCAAAGCCAAAGGACACGGGGACTCCACCGTGAAATAAGACTGGCTGCCTGAACGTGGTATTGCTCTGTGGGGAAGTGCAGAAGTCAAACATAATTACAGCCAACTGTTCGCTTTGGCGACAACGAATGCCCTCCGAGACAGCTCCCTTTCCAAGTCAACAGCAAAGGGAGTTGGAACTTTTTTGGTTGTGCCTCCCCCTCTTTTTCCAGCATGTCCAACCAATTCTTCCTTATCTATAATTACCTGCACTTAAGTCATAATTTAAGGGGAAAAGAATCAGCCACAGAGATCCCCCAGGTCTCATGTTGCCTGGATAGGATTTTCTGAACTAGACAACAGTCTCTCAACACCATCCACTGCTGTGTTCAGGTTCTCCAGCTGTGTTCCAGAGGAGGTACGCGCTGTCGGTAAAGCCTGACGTACTGGAAATGCAAACGGATTCTGATGACTGTGTTTTCTAAAGCATCTCAAACTTCTGACATGTCAGGAGCTGGAGCAAGACGGCAGCCGAATGAGACACTTGCGAGCACCTGCCCACTGAGACACCAGCTTCAACACCTATTCCCGCGCCGAGTCACCTACCTGCACAGGAGCTACAGAAGCCAGGTGCGAGGCCTCAGTGCCTGGTTTTAGTGTAGCAAGAAGAACAGATACATTCTAAAGTGCAGGAAAGAATGAGCTGTCTGCACATGTCAATCCTCTAATCCTCTCCCAGCTCCCAACAGCCCAGCAGGGAGAGACACCTCACCTCCCACTTGGGAAAACCAAAGTGAATTAAGCTCAGACCTCAGACTTGAAACCCAGTACCGGCCTGTCATGTTAAAAACTACAGTCCAGCAGGGCCCCAGGGTGTCTGCCCGCAGGTCTGTACGTGAAAACTGAGATTTTGGATCCTCTGTAGCCAGGCAGCTAAGGGAGCAGTTACACTTCCCTTTCACCAACCTTCAGTGGACATCAAACAAGCCTCCAGCTGCTGGGGAGAAGGTCAAGAAAGAGAACTCAGAAGCTTGCCTTGGAGCTCAGAGCCAGGCTGAAGCTGTGCGAATCAGCACTGATACAGCCCAAGGTCCTCCAGCTCCAGGCCAGCACTTGCAGGGGGAGCCTGTAGAGCCGTGCCGGCATCAGGCACTGATAACCCTGGTGAGGTGCACTTGCTTTGGCGTGCAGCACCACTGGTTCCCCATGCACCCAAGGCGAGGGGCACTCTTGTGATTATACAAGGTCTGGTGACTGTGAGACACAGCTTAGTGCCATCCTGACAGCCAAAGCGTTGTCCTTATAACCCCTCCCCAACCTCGGACAGTAAGCAAGGAACCCAAGACTGTGCCTTGCGTCATAGCACTGGATTGGTAAAACCCAACACAGGGCAGATCCTAACGTTCTCCACCCACAAGTGGAGCCTGTGGACCTGCCCCTGTGCCAAGAGAAGTCCTGTGGCTGCACTTGATCAGACTTACATTCCAGGAAGCACTGCTGGTGGACAGTTCTAGAAGCCTTAATCCCTAAGTCTGTCTCAGCAGCAGACTGACCACAGCAGTGTGGGATTTGGTCCTAACCCTACTGGTCTGGGTAGGCTGTGGGCGCTGGGTGTCATCTAGCTTTGTAGCATTGAAGGCTGCGGGACTGGGCATATGGGCCTTCCTCAGCCTCGGGGGGAGCTCACAGGGATGGACCACCTCTTTTTGGACACTTCATTTCATTCTGGATGGCACACCAGTTGTGGATTTCAGACAACTCTAGCTCAGGGCATCACTGGAGCAGAGTCAGCACACTGGCAGATTTTCTGAAAGCCTCAGTTCTGGGTGCCACCCACTGCTGAAGGAGCTCAAGTGTCCACAGGCTCAGAGAAAATAACTGCTTAGAATTCCCGGAAAGAGAGCCACGAGTGAAGCTGGATTACAAAAGCTAGAAAACAGTAACTCATTCTTCAATACACAGATGATGACATATGCCAACAGGTGTCACGAACCAAGACCTCACATCCAACTCACAAAATGAGGTGCCAGAAGCCACTCACGTAGGAGCCGACATTGGCCAATGTTCAGATGAAGAACTTAAAAGGGCTATCTTAGGGAAATCCAACAAACTTCCTGAGAATGCAGACAAATAATTCAATACTCTAATAAAGAGATTTGACGGGACTGGCAATGTTGCATAGTGAGTTAAGTTGTAGTCTGCAGCACCAGCATCCCATATGGGCACTGGTTCACATCCCAGCTGCTCCACTTCTGATCCAACTCCCTGCTAAGGTGCCTGAGAAAGCTCTCCAAAGTACCAGAGCTGCTTTGCAATAAATTCTAAAAGGACTTCTTCAAGCTGAAACAGAAAAGATACCAGTAAGAAGGTATGAGAAGAAAGTAAACACTGATAAGCACAGTCACACAAATTCAGAATGCTTCAACATGGAAGCCGTGCTACCTGAACAACCTACATCGTTAAATTCAGAATGCTCCAACACAGAATACAAGGTGAGTAAACCTTCTACATCTTTATTATGAGACTAAAAACCAAAGTGACTAAAATTAATAAGAACTACACTCATATGAATATAGGCAATATAGAAAGACATAAATTAAAAGATCAAAAAACCAACAGACAGGGAAGAATAAAGTACAAGAGTAGAATG